TTTTCTAAACAAGTATAGCTATTTATATTATTATTATATATATATATATATATATATATATATATATATATATATATATATATATATATATATGTAGTGGTACTCGTTTGGAAAAAAGTTGGATCGACTTGTAACAGAACATATCGAAACCCAATCAAAAGGAGGAATAAAAAACGAAAGAACCAAGAACATAAAACTAAGGCGAAAAACATCGTCTAGAATTCAAGGTCAAAGTCCAAAGAAAAAAAAACAAAAACGAGTAAAAAGACAACTATGTACAATGCTCAATACACTAAGTAGATCAAAAAAAAAAAAGAGCAAGATAATCCTAAGCAGCAAGTCAAACCTACCTAGGTTTCACCTAAACGAATCGTCAGGACGATGCCAGCCGAAAATGAAAATTATGGAACAGAATATATATATATATATATATATATATATATATATATATATATATATATATATATATATTCTATTCCATATATATATTTTTCCAGAATATATATATATATTCTGTTCCATAATTTTCATTTTCGGCCGGCATCGGTATATATGTGTGTGTGTGCGTGTGCGCGCAAATTATAGAAAAATATGAAAGAACAGTTAGGTGAATAATCCGAAGTTCTTTAGTATTATTGTTTTTATTTTTAAAAATACAGAGCTTAATACATAAGTAGAGCCTAAATTATAATTTTTTTTTTAAATATGATTCCATCGTTAAATACGAGTTCTCATGTTTCAAAAACAGAAGCTAAAAATCATCGCTGATTCATCCTCAAGCGAATTTTGGAATAACTAATCTTTGAATTTACGGAAAAATTGGTTATTCCAAAATTCGCTGGAGGATGAAATAGAGCTGTTTTTTGAGAACTTTTTTTTTAGCTTCTGTTTTTGAAAAACGAGAACTCTTATGTAGCGATGAGATCATATTTTAAAAAAAATAATTATAATATATATATATATATATATATATATATATATATATATATATATATATATATATATATATATATATAGTTTATGAAAAACAATTAATCCGTATGGGTAAACCTAAGGAGGATAAAAATCCAGAGAGTTGTTTGGAAGTAAAGTCTGATGATCCGCAGTCTTTTAAAACCTCTGAGTTGAAATAACTTATTACATGAAACCTTAAAAGTGTTCTGTTTTTATTTAATTATATATATATATATATATATATATATATATATATATATATCATCCGTTTGATAGAATATCGCTGCCATATCTGAACTGGTGTTTTAGCTATATATATATATATATATATATATATATATATATATATAGAGAGAGAGAGAGAGAGAGAGAGAGAGAGATTCTGGACAAAATACACAGAAGTGACTAATTTTATTGGTTCTAAGCTGGCATCTCAGCTTCGGTGCCTTTTCCTACCGACTTGCCAGTGCTTTTTCATAAATATTTATGGTAATTGTGATAATGACCTCTCCTCCTTGAGACGTCAACGGCATGAACTTAATTGGGCACATAAGATTAGGAACAGTTTTTAATGAATACGTTCCTGGTAATTGTTCGGTCGAGCTCTTAGCTATGGTGCCGAGACTGTATGAATTTTTGTAGCCATAACTTCTATGCTAACAGTTTTTTTCTCGCACTTCCCGTTTTTGAATTCTCTTCCGGCTCCATCCTTCTCAGCCAACTTTAGTCTGAAAAGAGTTAAATGCAATGTCAATTGCTATCTACTGATACGCTTTTTGTTCCCGCTCATTGGCAATGTTTATGTTTCTAAGTTTTTCGGCACTTAGTAATACCTTGTGTCATAAAAATAAGTTATTGTTAATCTGTTATTGTGCCTGATATACAGTAAGTACAAATCAATTTTAGTTAGTATGGTCGATTTTACTGGTTTTTAAACTACAATATTATTATATGACGATTTCCCAGACATTCAGGCCAATAAATGGCGTTAATACTGTTTATTATAAACAGAGCATTTACTTAAATATTTGTATTTATAAAAAGAACGTATAAACATAAAAATGTTTAAAATAATTGTCTGACTTTGTCCAGTTCATAATGTGTGACGTTATTTGTTTACATTTGGATACGCGTTGAGCAGATATGAATATACGTGAGAAAATCATGGATAATTGTAGTTTAAAAGAACAGTAAAAGCGACATTGCTAACCGAAACGCCCCTCTGTGGCTAAATCGGTAAAGCACGTCAGACTATATGGTGGTTCCGTATAGGATAGAGGTTCAATTCCTGCCGGAGGACGCATAATTTCTATGAAACTTTCTCGGATTTCCAGACCGGTAAATGTCGTTAATACTGTTTATTATAAACAGAACATCTCTATCTATAAAAAGCAGGATGTGCGTGTGTGTGCGTGCGTGTGTGTGTGTTTGTAAAGAATGCACGGCCTCACTTTTCGACGGATTTGCACCAAAATTTATATGCACATGCTCCAAGTTATATGCACATTTCCCAACTCTCATCGATAGTGGAAATAATCAATATTTCATGCTTCTACGCCAGTTTTCATGTAGTTTGCGGCCATTTTCTACTGACCAGAGTGAGAGCCTATAGGTGGCTGCCACGAATAGGCAGAAAGATTCTATTGGCCAGCGTGAGAGCCAACAGCTGACTGACACGAATGTTAACTAGCATGGTAGCATACAAAAAAATCGATAGCTGCATTCGTCGCAAGTGGGAAAAATTTAAATCTGCATGGCACTTTACTCCAATTCGCTCATTCTCTTGCTTAAACTCAACGTTGATTCTCGTTCCGCAGGACTGGGTTGGGTGTGAAAAAGTATTTGTTGTTAACATTCTTTTTTCATTCGGCTTTTACAGTTACGAGTCCATTTTAAAGTTGATCGATTTCTTTGGCAATAAAGAGTACTGTGCTGTTACGTGACATCTGTCCTTCTTTACGGCAGCGAATGTTGGACGATTGCCTCAAAAATGAAGTAAAGAATCTAAGCGACGGACATGGGTGCTAAGGATGAGCGTATGAGCAACAATGAGGTCTTAGAGAGAATGCAAACAAGTAGGAGGCTTATACTCAATATCAAGTTGAGGCAGCTGAAGTTTCTGGGACACAGAATGAAGAAGGAGGGCCTGGAGAATCTGATACTCACGGGTCGAATAGAGGAAAAGAGAGACAAGGGAAAAAAACGTGACATATCTGGTGGACTTAAGCAAGTGGATGACAGAACGTGGTTTGGGGGAGGAAGAAGAGGGAAGGAACTTATTGAGAGCTCCAAGGGATAAAGGAAAAGGTGGAGAGCCATGGTTGCCTACGTCCTGAAAAGATATGACACGGTAAAAAGAAGTGTTTGTTAAGATTCTGTAATATGCTATAGATATATATGCAACTATATGTTGAGCCTGGTCTGTAATGGATGATCAGTTGGAAATGTCAGGTTCTGCAAGCTTTGATATTCAGGAGGTGTAATAGATAATGGTTCAGAATTGGAAAATAGAGTGCCAAGATCCAATTTCAGTTGGCTTCATTATATTCACTTACACATATAAAGTATGAATCCATCTCTTGTCTCCCCAGCTATGGGTTAATATGTGAAGAACTTTCGAGATATGAGAAGAATATACCATAGTACGTTGTTTCGAATCATACCATGGTCGATTTGTCAGGAAGTGCTGGTTTGGAAGAGGAGATCACAGTGTGCAATATCATAGGAAAGTTCCTGAAAATTGTACCACTTGTTGATCTAATCTTTGTGAGTAGACGGATTGCCTTTGAAGTCTTCAGTAGTAGTGCAAGCACGAAGTCGGAAGTCATCGTGGCCGAGGGCTTGAGCATGCTGGCCTTGTTCAGATTGTTGATCACGTTAGATAACACGCACCCAGAATCTGTAACTAAGGTCTGCTCAGCATAGTTACAGGATAAACCAAAGCTGGGCTCTTTGCGTGCTGGAAAAACACAAAATGCGTCTGATCAAGCGTCTACAATAGGGATTAGCTAGCCACCTTAGTAAAAAGTTTTGTTTTTTTTCGAAGACGAGTTGAAATAAAATTAGCAGAAATTAATCAGATAAAATTTAATTATTCAGGTGCTCCGCAGTAATACAATCTTGAAACAAGAAAAGCTGGGATTTTGAATGCCAAACTACAACAGAAGTTTGTATCTTTTCTTATTTAAAAAAAAAAAGGGGGAAACATAATCTGACCTAATCGCATTTACATTTACCTGACCTTGTGCCAGACGTGGCAAAGCTTAGTTAATCTCTATTGCCATCAATAAGACTTTTACAGTACTTCAGTAAAGAGTGACTAGAGCTTCCATGGGAAATTGTTTCTAATATATTAAGTCTTAGCTTGGCAACTGCTTTTGGTAATAGAATTAGCTTTGATTAATCCATTCGATTGCGTATTCTTGCAAATTTGGTCTGATTCCTGTCGATAATGAAGACACAAGACAATAGCGGCTCGGCGAAAGTAGAATATCCCGAAGGAATTGCTTCAGGGTAGATACGCACAGATTCTTCATAATGCAGAAAGACGATTTGTATATCAAGTTGTAGTTGGGTTTGAAAGGCACATAGAGAAATATCAAGAGATATAGCTAAAAAACTGTTATGTTATATATATATATATATATATATATATATATATATATATATATATATATATAATTATATTATAGGTGCAATTTTAATTTATAAATTCATGAATCATTCATACAAAAAACAAATAGAGAGTTTATGAATTAAATGGCAAGAATACATCTTCGCAAACAATAACAATAAGATACACCTGTGTATGAATAATATGATCCCTGTTTATAAATTCCAGTTGCATATTGTTTGCGAAGATGTATTCTTGCCATTTAAATCATTAACCTCTATATCTGTTTTTTTGTATGAATGATTCATGAATTTATATATATATATATATATATATATATATATATATATATATGGTGAAAATATAAAATAAACTGAGGGTTCAATGCCAATCTCGACAGTGCTTAAATAGAATAAAATTATCAATACCAAAATCAGCAGGCGGATAGATAGATAGATAGATAGATAGATAGATAGATAGATAGATAGATAGATAGATTTATGTGCTTAGACACAGACAGACGGACTGACGGACAGATAGATAGATAGATAGATAGATAGATAGATAGATAGATAGATAGATTTATGTGCAGAGACACAGACAGACGGACTGATAGACAGATAGATAGATAGATAGATAGATAGATAGATAGATTTATGTGCTTCGACACAGGAAGGAAGATCCGTTAAAAGTTCATTTCAGAAACAAATTACAAGAAATAAGATCCAAGAATTCGACATTCTTAATTTACCAGCAGCGCAGGTAGAGACAATTAGTGAGTTGAATGTTGTAAGGTAATTCTATGAAACTTAGTAAACGAATATTCAGCTTCAAACCTGTCAAACATTTAAAAACTCTCATGCATTCTTTTCTGACGTTTCGCATGTCTTTTTCAGTCCAGCAGGTGACTTGAAAACTTTTCCATAGATGTGACATTAATACTCAAAACTTAATGTCATATCATATCTCTTGTGCGACGTAATCTCATAGGCATACATATACATACACGATAGACTGAAAGAACTGTTTTAAATTGTGAGATAGGTAGATATGAATTGAGGTGTTTGGTCAGGGCTCCTCTCCATTCGGATTGTATGGCTGGCAGGCTAACCCAGTTGATGTCCACAGCTTTCATGTCGCGTCTAACGGCATCGCGGTAAGGTAGCTGTGGCCGCCCGGCATGTCTCCTACCATCGGCCAGCTCTCCATACGTTGTCTTTGGCGTTGTGGCAGTCTGGCATGCGATGGGCGTGGCCCAACCAAGTAAGGGGAGAAAAGCTGACAGAAGTCGCCACAGAAAGGCGGGCCCGCAAAAAGCAAAATAACTCCAACAGACCAGAGAAATTTTTATCAGAACACACATACGACCTCTGCAATAGAGATTGTCACTCCCGCATCGGCTTCTACAGTCACAGACGTTAATGATACAGCCAAGCAGACAACTAGGATGCTACCCATAGTCAACCCTGACTAATGGAAGTCTGCTACTTTAAAAAAAATTGGTTTAGATAAGTTTAATATAGCCGTTTGGATTAAATTGTTTATGACAGAAAATATTTGTTTTTTTCTTTTACATATAATCTTAATATGTCCATTTTTATTGCATTGAGAAGGTTTTTGTACCTCTTATAGACTAGAACACCTTTCACATGAAAATCAACCCCCTGAGAATAGTGTGCCCAACACTGAGGTCCTGTCTCGAGCAAGTCTGTCCAGCATGTTCAAACTGCTCAGACAGCGCAGACTCGGTTGGTTAGGCCACATCCACCGCATGACAGACGGCCACATCCCCAAATGCCTCCTGTATGAAGAGCTGGCCTCTGTAAGAAGACTGTGGAGAGCCTGGCAGCCATACGATCCAAATAGAAAGGAATCCTGACCAAAAACCCCAAGTCAGGGGAGGAAAAACTGACACAAGTCGCCAAGGAAAGGCGTGCCTGCAGAAAGCAGTGACAGCTCCAAAGTAAGCAGAGACAGAACACACATGCGACCTCTGCAACAGATTGTCACACCCGCATCGACATCTACAGTCACAGACGCCAATGCTCCAGCTAAGCAGACAATTAGGGTGCTACTCATGGTCAATCCTGACCGACGGTGGCCTACATGATGTGATATGATTATATACTGATATCTAGAGAGATGAATAGATATATTTAGGTACTAGCAGATATATATATATATATATATATATATATATATATATATATATATATATATATATAAAATATATATATAAATATAAATAAATATATATATGTATAATTATTTATATATTATATGCGCGGTGTCAGTTTGTCTGAGAATCGCTAAAGCGTGAAACCCAGGGTCACAAACTCACATCTATCCAACCAAATATATATATATATATATATATATATATATACTGCGATGGGAAAATTGTTGACATTTTATATTTTTAAATTCGTGAATGCGCATTGTTTGTTTTGATTTTTCAACTACACATAAGATAAGGTCAATTGGGTAACGTCTATGAGAAAAAGAGGATCATGATGCAATTCACCTCGCCGGAAATTTGGAAACGACATGCTGTACTGCTTGGCATTCGCACCGGAAGCTCTAATACGAACATTTCAAAGTGTTTAAGTGTCCATCTGAATACAATACAAACATTTCGGAAAGAGTTGGATGAATCCAATGGTGATTACGAAGTAGTTTGGATCATTAACTAGTGATGGCGACGTTATGCCACTAGTCATCTTTCCATAGGGTAACGGACTTAACACTGAAGCCTATATCAATTGGAGGTAATGCTGCCTTGGGTCAAGAGGTTGTCTGCTGGAAGACACTATTACATGCAGTAGAATTCTGCACACATGTTGGAGAGCCCAGTCATGGCTGTCAGACAGTTTCTTCGACTACATCGCACTTTACATCTGGCCAACGATCCAGACTTCAACTCCCTTCATTATTACGTGTGTGGTACAAAAAACTCTTTGTAACACCAAAGAGAAACTGAAGGCAAGGATTATGGCAGCATTCACGAAGTTACACAAGGAGCCAGACCAGAAGAGAAGCAGGAGATTCCGAAGTCGTCTGCAGGTTGAAGCCAATGGCGATTTTATTGAATAAATTTACTCTTTAGTATTTCAAAATACTTTTGTCTAATTTTCGTAAATATATCTGTCAAAATGCGATGTCAGTGTTAATTTCATATTTACGTAATTTAGATGACAATTTATTCATCGCACAATACACACACACACACACACAAACACATACCCACCCACACACACACACACACACACATATATATATATATATATGTATATATATATATGGAGAGAGAGAGAGGGAGAAGTAAACATAGATAGATATGCCTAGACACTGATAGTGTGTTGTTTAGACACAGATTGATAGATCGATATGTTTAGATACTGATATATATATATATATATATATATATATATATATATATATATATATATTATACATGTATATATATATATATATATATATATATATATATATATATATATATATATATATATATATATATATATATATATATATATATATAGAGAGAGAGAGAGAGAGAATAGAAACTGACAGATTGATAGATATATTTAGCTACTGAGATATATAATTATATAGACAGATAGGCATTTATAGACATATGATGAGACACTAACAGATAGAAAGATATATTTAGACATTGTTATATATATATATATATATATATATATATATATATATATATATATATATCGTCACCCCATAAGTTCTGTCCGAATTTTGAATAAAGAAAATAAGCGACCAAATGTTACATTTATTTATAGATTCAATCAACAATGTATTTTCCCTGATTATCAATGACTTCCTTCCATCTATTAACAAGCTTACTAATTCCATTATTGTAAAATTCTTTTGGCTTTGATTCGAAGAACTCACGAATGTCAGTTTTAACCTCTTCCAGTGTTACAAAAGCTGTTTCTTTCAAATGATTCTGTAAGCTACGAAACAAATGGTAGTCTGAATGAGCAAGATCAGAAGAATAAGGTGGATGAAGAATTTTCTCCCAACCAAGTTCTTCGATCTTTTGTGACATGATTCTTGCTGTGTGGGGTCGCGCATTGTCCAGATGAAACATCACCTCTTTTCGATTCACAAGAGCAGGTCTTTTTTTCCTCAAAGCTTGGTTCAAACTCTCTAATTGCTGACAGTATATTTGAGCATTAATTGTTGCATTAGGTAGTAAGAATTCAAAGTGTATTATTCCTTGGCGATCCCACCAGATTGAAAGAAGAAACTTTTGCCCATGAAGATCCCTTTACCAAGCCACTGTATACAACGCTTAACATTTTGATAAAAGATCCATTTTTCGTCGCCAGTTACAAGTCTATTCAAAAAAGGTGAAACAAGTTGGCGAGAATGGAGAGAAGAGCATATGTCAACTCGGGAGTTGAGGTTGTTTTCAGACAATTCATGAGGCACCCATTTTCCAAGTTTAGGAACTTTTCCTAGTTGTTGTAGATGACGATGAACAGTTGTATGGTTTGAACTGAGAACCACTGCCTCAACTGATGAATCAGGATTTTCTTCAAAGGCTGCTTCATGAAGCTTTTCATCAAACTCAACTGGACGTCCGGTTCGATCCTCATCTTCAAGGGTGAAATCTCTACCTCTGAATTTTGCAAACCATCTTCTGCATGTTCTTTCATTCACACATTCCTCTCCATAAACTGAGTGAATGTTTCTAGCCGCTTCGGCTGCTGAGTTTCAATTCTTGAACTCGTAAAGCATTATGTACCTGAAATGATTCTTGAGCACTTCCATGTTAGCAGGGTTTTAATTAAACAAATTTTAATTTTATTGTTCTCTGAATAAAATTTGATCAGTTGAAATGTATCTAAACATAAAAATAATGTTCAGCTCCATTAGACATTATAAAATACTCTTTAAATTTCGTTCATTTTAACAAAAAGTAAAAGTTCAGACTGAACTTGTGGGATGACCTATATATATATATATATATATATATATATATATATATATATATATATATATATATATATATATATATACGGCAATATTTATATATAAATATAATGAAATAATTATTAATTGTTTGTTTTTTGTTTTTGTTATTTTTTGCCGAGTAAGAGTGAACATAAGAAAATAGTGGAGAACCATAATCGCCAATTGTTTTAAGGTCATAGCAAAAGGAATAGAGCGTAATTGGTGTAGCTCCCGTTGCTACCTGCGCAGTTTTGAATTTAGAATTAACTATATGATTCTTTTTCGAAGTATGGTAGCCCTTCTAAGATTTGATATGCCACTTTGTCTTATGATTAAACCGACAGGTAGAAGTAACGTCTTCATGGCTTTCCCAGTGGCCGTACATTGGAATCTGAACCCAGCCTGGCGATTTCTTTTTTCCACGTCGATAGCCAGCACACGACAAGCAAAACCCAGCAAGACTCTACAGCGGGTCTCGAACCTGGTACCGTATATCATTTCATACGTCTGTATCATAGTCTCAAATATACATGCGCATGGCCGGGTCGTGTGTTTGAAGAAGTTTAAACGATGTCGACTTGGTCGGTATCTGTTATTGCGGGCGGTTATTTAATGAGAGTATTTGTATTCTGATGAAATACACTGGGGACTATGACAGAACTTATATTCCTTAACTCTATT